GTTATAGTGGATCCTAGTGGTCAGAAGCAGTTGCCACTCACACGCTAGCAGCAGCCTGGGCAGCGGCTTGCCTACTATCAGAGCCTGAACAGTTGCGACTATTATAATTTCTTGGGCTTCCTCATTACGCATATGATACCATTATATACCCCTAAACACTATTCTAATTATTGGGGCCTCTACATACGTAACACTAGGACCGATGATCAGCAACAACCTCAGGGGATGCACTGAATCGTGGCAGGCACGTGCAGAGCTGGAGCGTGTCATCTGCCAGGAAGAGGCCATTGCTGCTCTGCCTTGGGCATGCCAAGCACGTGTACAATGTACGAAAGTTCGTACAGGCAACGAAAAAATGTGCAAAAGAAGGCTCAGAGGTTTCGACTGTATGTATACACACAGAGTGGTAGCACTATCCCTCTCGAAGAGCTGAAATAGCACGATGAGTATCATGCTAAAGCACGCCGGCCATGCTGCCTTCGGTAAAGAGGCTCGGCTCTCGGCTGTCTGCGAGGGCTGCTCGGTTGTCCTTGGTGGGTTCTTGGTCTTTATTATGCACAAACTCACATGATGCCTTGGATGCTCACTTGCGGTTGCTACCATGCTAGAGACTGGGCTTTGGGGGTGAAGCTGCACCGTTGTCGTCGGGTGACCCTAACGTGAACCTGAAGTATAGGTAACATGACCTTTGCACACAGAGTCCGAGGCGAAAGCGTCTTTCACACACGATGGAAGGGTGTTTCGCACGAGTGGACTAAGAACACGTCTTGAACAGAAAGCCGTAAAATGTGGACTCCCCATTCAGCAAGATGGCCAGCCTCCCCGCTTCGCAGGCGTCGCGAGCAGAGCTGCTCCAGCGGGCCGACAAGAAGGCATCCCCGCATTTCTTTCGTGGACGGGCTCGCGGAGTTTTTGGTGGAAGTGTCGAGGTTTCAAAGTACAGTTGTTCGTACGAGAAGCGTTTGGGAACTCGGAAGCTGCATAGATGTTTCTGGCTGAGATCCTCCAACTTCCACAGCCTCCTAGGCCCAAAACCCTCCAAAATCCTCTACTCTGTGCTTAAGCCCTGAGTTCGAGTGCTACGTGCGATGCGCTTCCCGCAAAGTTGCCATTATTTCTGCAGGATCTCCGACGTTTGGGTAGTAGGAGTTGCTCGCTGCAGAAGTCATACAGCACCACCACGGCCCGAAAACAACCCACATCCCAAAGCGCTTTCACTGGAGCCCTCGACCTCTGAACTCTACAACACACTTAAGCTGTAAGCCTCAAGCCCCAAAGAAAGGGCGTCATTGCACTTAAAACAAAACCCGACAGCAACATGTTCCCGAGGCAGCTGCTGAGGGGCTGCGACTCAGCGCTGAGATCGAACGCCTCGAGGAACAGCTGCAGCCGGGAACCCGAATCGCCGCACTTTCTAGATCGGTGACCAGAGCCCCACGCACCCCCAGGCAACTGACGCAGCAGTTGGGCCAAAAGCACCGCTCGTCGGCGGAGCCTCTTGGTCCGAAGGGTTTTTAAAACTTGAGAAGTCTCATCTTACAGTGACTCTGCCGGAATCACGCTGTACCGTACCACCACATGTTGTCGAAAGTCACTCATTGTCTGCCTACAGTCTTCTCGGAGGATGGGCTATGTAGGTGTGTTGACTTTGAATGTGATCCACAGCTTCCAACATGAGCTTGTGCTTCAAGAGCAACGTATTTGTTGTGTGATGTTTCCTAGATGTTGCACGCGAAACGGCCGACATTGTGTTTTTGTCTATCTTTACCTCTCTGTGTATATGTGCATATGAACCAGCAAGCACACACAGACATGCACACACAAGACTTTCACATACATATTACACACACAAGCGAACACACAGATACTAGCTGACAGATGAATCCATACATGGTTCTGTTGTTTGTTAACATGCGCCCGACCATACACAAGGACAGGGAAGCCAGGCGGTTCAAACTAAACTCCACCCTGGATGTACCTCTTTGTGTTTACTTGGATGTCTTGTTTTTTTGCATCAGGTTGGCAGGTATTAGATTTTACTGGCAATTTTTTCAGGCCTAGGCAGACAGGCTAGGCGGTCAACAAAGCGCGACTTCTGTGCTCGTTGTCTGTGGGATTTTGGGGCTGTGAAGCCAGTCGAATCTTGAATCCCCTCGAAGTTCAAGCTTTTCTAGGAGCTGACACTGTGAGACCGTGGTAGAAGCCTGGCTGTAAACCTTCTCGTGCATCCAGCTTGGGCTTCCCGCTTGACCCAGCCGCAAGAACTCAAGGATGGAAGTTCAGCTCAGCAAAGCAGGCGCGCGAAGCTTCTGATGGTGATGGTGGTGGCGAAATTTCGACAAAGCTGCTGCTGCTGTTGCTGCTGCTTTTGTTGTTGCTGTTGTCGTTGAAGTCTTGTGACAACCGTTACCCTTGTTTGTATGCACAACTCTATTTCTGCGCCCAGGAGATGATGATGATGATGGTGATGATGATGAAGAAGATGAGGATGAAGATGCAGATGCAGATAAGAATGAAGGTGCAGATGAAGATGAAGATGCTCATGGTGATGCAAAGGAAGAGGAAGAGTCCTGGTTACTGCGATTCGAGCTCTTAAGGCTAAGAGGTCGTTGATGTTGTCCTGGTTGTTGTATCTATCAGCGGGGGTAGTCAATCGTTTGTTGTTGGCTGTTGCTGCTGCTGTTACTTTCGATGATGATTTTTGAATACGGTTTGTTGTCGTCACCACCATGACCACCGTGAACACAAACCGCGACCACCATGACCACCGTGACAACCCCGACGACCCTGACCACCCTGACCACCATCACCAACCAGTAGCACCACCATGACCACCATGACCACCATGACCACCATGACCACCATGCCCACCATCACCAGCATCGCCATCATCGCACCGCCAATAAATAGCCATCACCACCATTACATCCAAAACCGCCAGTACCGCCATGACTAACTAGCATCGTCGTCATCATGAGAGCATCATGAAGCTCCTCGGTGCCTTCGTCAATGCTCCAGCAGCAGCAAACTTCAGAGATTGAAGGTTTACCGTCGCATGAAACGGGTAGGGACTCTGCATTTAACAAGCCAGCCTCGTTGACAAGGCTCGCGGCAAGCTGCCATGGAGGTCGCTTTGCAGGAGGCCATTGCTAGTAGGCTTCCCCTGGTTAGGGTGACCAGTACTTAACACTAACTAATAGGCTTTGCCAACATCAACTGTGGTTCCTGGTCGTCGTGATTCTGAATTACCGGACAGCGTGTTGACGGGAGGAAAGCTAAGATGTTGCCGATGCCGATGCACTCTCAAGATGCTGCCGTGAGTTCGCAACTGGAGATTCCACACCGCAAGTGTGTTCAGGCTCACAGAAGCAAGGAAGAGGCCAGCCTGCTAGCTGAAGTTTATTGAGAGTGCTGTCGGGGTTGTTCGAGCTTAAAGCAGGGTCCGGGTTGCAAACTGGACAGCACCGCAATTTGTACCGATATCGACCTGAAAGTACTCCGGGGGGTTGAGGGTTTGGATTCATGGTGTGGGAAATTTTCTGACTCGCGAGTTAAAGGTTAGGTTTGCGTGGACAGTGTCCGGAATTGCAGGTGGGGCATGTAGCAGAGATCAGTGACTACAAAGGTGCCTAGAGGCGTGCGCAGGATCTCAATGTCATCGCCTGCTCTCACCGGCAGGCGCATGCCGCACATGCAGATGCCGCACCCCTAAAACTGGCAGGCTTGCATCTTCCATCAGTCTCAGTGTAAGGCTGTATCCTATCTGAACCACACTCGGCAGATTGAATCACCGGTGTCGACAGCCGACCAGACTCTTTCCCTGAATCGCAGAGCCCATGCACAAGACAACATCAGTATCCTAAACTGAACCCCCTAAACCCTTAAACGCACACCCTTAGACCCGGCCCTGCCTTTCTACAGCCTCCGAGTCATTCAAGCGCAGGCACGGACCTCGAGCTCACTGTTTTTCTCAGATTTCAAGGCAGCCCTCCCCGAACTTCCTTTGGAGTTTACGGTTTAGGGTTTCATACCCTAAAGCCCTGACACCTCTAAAGCCCGGAACCCTCAATTTTGCAGCCTGCAGTCGCCAGACTTTCTACCGAGGCCTTCAGAAGGCTTCAAGAGCTCTCCCACAGCGACAAGGCATGTGTTTTCCGTAAGGATTGTATAGAGAGTGTATATGTATAAGGGTATTACAAGGGCAGCCGTAACCCTGTAAGGGTTGTATAAAGAGTGTATAAGGGTATTCTAAGGGTTAAAAATTCTGGTTACTACTATTGGGGTGACTGTAAGGGTTCCGTTAAGGCTAAGGTCTGGCGGTTCAGTTCAGTAGGTAGTATTATTAGGGGT